TTTGTGAATATTAGATGAACTTTGTGAATATTAGGATGAACTTTGTGAATATTAGGATGAACTTTGTGAATTTTAGGATGAACTTTTGTTAATATTAGGATGAAGTTTGTGAATTTTAGGATTTGTTGGTGAATACTAGGATGGACTTTGTGAATATTAGGTGAAATATTAAGGATGAACTTTGTGACTTGTGAATTTAGGATGTGAAATTATGAATAAGGATGAACTTTGTGAATATTAGATGAACTTTGTGAATTTTAGGATGAACTTTGTGAATATTAGGATGAACTTTGGGAATATTAGGATTTGTTGGTGAATATTAGGGACTTGTGAATATTAGGATGAACTTTGTGAATTTTGATGATGATATTTGTGATGAATTAGGATGAACTTTTGTGAATGAATATTAGGATGAACTTTGTGAATATTAGGATGAACTTTGATGAATATTAGATGAACTTTGTGATATTAGGATGAACTTGTGAATATTAGGATGCAATATTAGGAAGATACTTTGTGATTAGGATTTGTTGGTGAATATTAGGATGAACTTTGTGAATATTTAGGATGAACTTTGTGAATATTAGGGATGAACTTTGTGAATATTAGGATGAATTTGTGAATATTAGGATGAACTTTGTGAATATTAGGATGAATGAATATTAGGATGAACTTTGTGAATATTAGGAATGAACTTTGTGAATATTAGGATGAAATGAATTATTAGGATGAACTTTGTGAATATTAGGATGAACTTTGTGAATATTAGGATGAACTTTGTGAATATTAGGAATGAATTGTGAATTAGGATTTGTTTGTGATATTAGATGAACTTTGTGAATATTAGGATGAACTTTGTGAATATTAGGATGAACTTTGTGAATATTAGGATGAACTTTGTTATTAGGATGAACTTGGTGAATATTAGGATGTGTTTTGAGATATGAGATGGATTAGGATTTGTTTGTGAATATTAGGATGAACTTTGTGAATATTAGGATGAACTTTGTGAATATTAGGATGAACTTTGTGGATGAACTTTGGAATATTAGGATGAACTTTGTGAATATTAGGAATGGCGATGGAGAGGGAGACTTAGCAGGGTTCGATAAGGATGAGAAACGATGATAATAACGATAATGATAATAGACGAAAGAAGATAAATGGATAAATAAATAAGCAACAACCCAAATGTGTGTGCGTGAGAAATGAGGAAAATGATGTGGATGCAAAACTGATGATAAAGAGAAAGAGAGCAGAAGAGAATTATTTTGAAGGGTTATGATGATGATAGTAAAGGAATGAAATAGAGAAATAATAAAAAAATATGGCGTGGGAAGTGTGGAGAATGGTGGTGAGGATGCAAAACTGATGTAAAAGGGAGAGAGAACAGAAGAGAATTATGATGATGATGAATTAAAAAAAGAGAATTATGATAAAGGAATGAAATAGAGCAATAATAAAAAATATGGGGCAACGAATAAATAAACAAGGATTAGTAAAAGATAAAAAGAATAAGAATATAGCAAAAGCATAAAACAAGAGAAATGATAAACACAAACGTCAACGAACTAGGGATAAATGAAAAAATGATAGAAGAATAAAACAAAGACAAATGATAATGAAAAAAAAGTACAAACAAAAGCGAAATAAGAATAATGAGAGAATGAAATAGAAAGAGAAATAACAAACAAGATAAGATAATAAGATGAAATTATATAAATAAAAAAACAGAAAAAAACACATAGTCGCAGACTAAGAATCAATAAAATAATAATAAAGCAAAATGTTGATAAAAAAAAGGTACAAACAAAAGCGAAATAAGAATAATAAATGAACGAATCAGAAAGAGAAATAACAATCACAAGATAAAATAATAAGATGAAATTAGATAAATGACAAAAAAGCAGAAAAGGTTAACACGAGCACAGACCAAAAAGTTAATTAAAAAAGAACTTAAAAAGATAATAATAATAATAATAATAAAAGTTTTATGCGAGAGGGAACTTAAAAGATAATAATACAACAGAACTTAAAAAGATAATAATAATAATGATAAAAGTTTATGCGAGCCTCTCTACCTCTCGTCCTCCTCTGTGACCTCCAGCTGCCACGTCGGATACTGACGAAGGTTATCGCGGTTTCCCTTATCTCCTTCGTTTCCTCCTCCTCCTCTCCCTCCTCCTTCTCTATCTCCAATTCCTCCTCCTCCTTCGCGATCTCCAATTCCTCTTCTTCCTTCTTTATCTCCGATTCCTCCTCCTCCTCCGTTATCTCCAATTCCTCCTCCTCCTTCTTTATCTTCAATTCCTCTTCTCTCTGGCGTCTTATGTGGAGGGTCGACATCTCGATCGAAAGAAGGAAAAATCCCCAAGGTAATTGATATTACCTTAAGTCGACGATAAGAAGAGGAATATAGGCACCCACACGTGTCGTTCTTAATACCCATAATCTTATCGAGTATTATAAAAGAAAATAAAGCATATCAGTTTTTACGTTT